CTCCCAGAGGTATGTATTGTCCTTGCACTTCGCCAGAGTATCATCCAATAACCTACATAGAGCAGTCTCGATGCACACAACCTGCAGACCCCCCACCTATGGTAACTTTCCACAGCTATCGGGTCATCACCATAGCATATCGCTGCCTGCTTCATTGCTATCATACAGTCCACTGCCTTGTCAACGTAACTGGGAGGGATTAGGGACCGCCGAACTAAGTAAGACGGCCTTACTCGTAGCCGGGCTGTTGCAATAGCCGCACCGTTACTGTGGTCATCTTCTGGAAGGCTTCACCCAGCAAAGCACTAGTGACCCCAGAGCCTGCCTCAACACTGTCGGTAGTAAACTCCTCAAATTCCTCGACTCACCATACACAGCTGTTGTGAAGTCCCTCACTGGGGATACCATTCCTATCTGAACTTGTGGGAACATCTCTGCCCTTCCTCCCTCACCACTCTGCTGCTGTGCCGAAGTCGAGGGCGCTCCCCCTGGAATAGAGTCCGATGTCGGGAAGTCAAAGACCTACACCCTATCGCTATCTCTACGAAGAGAGGACACATCAGACCCACCAGTTTAGTAGGATCCACACTGGGAGGTTTCTTCGACGACCCCTCTGCCTCTCGATCGACGGCATCCCTCCAGTACCTAATAGCAAGGTATTGGTCGCAGCCACACATACTCTCCATCCCCACCTTTTGGTCTTCTTCTTATCAACTGGTACTTTCACTAAAGTAAATACTTCCCTTAACGCATTGACATCTTTCAAGAAGCGTGCCTCAATGATCCTCTCTGGATGGAGACACCTAAACGACATCCCTTTTGTCCCCACGATAGCAGCAACAGTAGCTCACGCATCAATCTGCTTGTCAATTCCCACTATTGGTGCCTCAGGATCCTCTGCTCTTCGTACGACCTACAGATCAGCCATCCAGCGTCACTGTTGCTCCTTACTATCAATACCGTGCGCCAAAATCGGAGTAGTGTCGGGTTGAAGATTTGTTTCATCTTCAGTAGTTCATGATAGTCCCCATCATCCTCCAAGTCCATACTATCCATAAGCCTCTAACATACAAAGCACAGCGTGAGGTTGGCAGAACGTGATGATGAGGATGCCATACATCGATAGCAATCGTCTCCTTGTCTGTCAAGTCCGTATCGAAATCATCGAATATAATACCATCAGTACGGACATCATCACTATATGGTAGTTGATTCATATACAGACAGGTGTGACTGTGAAGAGGCTACCTCCTCAAGGGAGGAACGGACAGATGAACTCACCGTTCGGAAATGTGAGGGGCCAGACAAACGTACTTTGGCTTAACGTCGTTGCGGAAGCAGTAGCGAGCCAGCATATACTAAAGTCAGCCTAGCGACACGTATTTCAGCAGCAAAGATAGAGTACTACCACTCCCATGGCATCCATAGCCTTGATAAGACTACTCAGCGCCTTAGCAGCATCGACGTTGTTGGGCTCAGCTGCTACGCACTCAATGGACTCCCCTATCATCAACCTGAAATCAACCCACCACTGTAGTTGCCATGCAGAGGACCTCACTACTCCTCGGGGATCGTCTCCGATCGGGCAAAGCCAAGCATGGTGAGACACTTGTCCGAATGGTACTTCAACGATGCCTCATCGTAGGGCTCGAACCGCACGAACTGCGAACCGTACTTGTATGCTTTCGCTCCTAAAATAACAGCAGCAGTTCACACTGATACGTGTTTCTGTCCTAGTACTCTCTTCAGCAGGTATGGCTTCTCCATCGGGGTCATCTACAGCGTAGTACACTCTATCCATCTTCACAGCTGCTGAAGTGTGAGTACCTCGAAACACCAAGTCCAACTGGGTACTACTAACTCTACCATACTTTCCTTCTTCAGTGTTGGCAGCGTCACTTTACTAGTCTTGAGATAACACCATATAGGGATCTTCATATACTTCGTCAGTTCGAGGTCAACCCGACATTTGGATATCTGTTGTGTGTCTTTGCTCCTAACCTATCAGCAAACACATCAATCCGAATCAATAGCTGCCAAGCCCGACCTGTGTTAATAACTCGAATAGTGCTTCCTCCTGCAGATACTGTCCCTTCTCTGATCGAGCCGCTACCGACTCAAGTACAGCATGGACCTCAGGCAAAGGCGCTGAGAGGCATCATACACGAGGAACAGTCCACAGTGCCTTACTCCCGAAGGTGGCAATGATAGGCTCTACATTGATCTCGTTCATCCGCTGCACTATGCTAGGCAAATCAGCAGCACCCTGTACTGGAGTGCACCCATCGGTCAGGATAAGGACCGTTCTTTGGGACCTAACAGACCAAAGCACTAGTCCCCACTACTGTGGCCATCATACCTCACCTCGCCTTACTCTTCTCGGTAGCACTGTGTATCATATCTAGCGCTACTATCAGACCACCAACCACATCTGCTGTGTACGGACTGCCATAATCGATAGAAGTGAGACAGCGCAACTGATGAAACGGTGAGGGCAATTATAGTAGGATGCTATTACAAAGTCTATATCAGGCACTGCAAGGTCCTTGATAACCTCTATGTTTTGATATCCACCATGTTGTAATCTATTACGTGTCCTTTGACTCCCTATCAACACCAATGCTACTTGTGTACTCTTACCACCCAGTATCAGCTTCTGCTGTATCTACTGCAAGCCCTCATGGACTCATCCCCCCTAAGGCAACCCTTTTACGAACAATTTTGCCGCCTCTATCGCAAGGTCCATCTTGGTACGACCTGCTTGTGGCTGCTGTGATGTAGAAGGACAGGTATCGGACATGGTTCTACCCACGTCCAGAAGAAGGACGTAGTATTTCTTCCGACTAGCCATGGCGGAGAGGGAAGTAGAGAAGCAACACTACGGTAAACCTTCGCCATCCACACTAAACTGCACAATGATAACAACTACTCAAGTAACATGTAAATACTACAACACACAATACTATAGACAGTTGGGTGATTGATCGCCACGTGCCAGGAACGGAAAAAAGCCCTCCAAGACAACCCCCAGTTCAGGCTGTACTCGTTGCGAGGATGCACCCAGCTGTAGCATCTCGAATGCCTCTAGAAGATGCTCACCCTACAGCATTTCACCCCTCTTCCTAACGGATGCCTGTGGTGACATACCCAGGGTGTGTATCACCACAAGACATTGGCTGTAGGACTGCCCCTCAGCTGTATCCAAGTCAGAGCAAACAACAAAAGCTGTCGTGAGCGCGAAGCAGCCACCAACACGGTGCCGTAACTGTTACACGAGCCTCCAATTCCAGGCCTCTAAGGCGTTAGAACTCTCTGTACAAAGGTGAGTAACGGGTAACTCATCCGTACTAACGGCCCTGTCCTCTGCCATATACCCCCAACCCTCCCCAACAGCCGCTGGAAGTCATTAATGAGCCCAAATAGCACATGCCCCCATGATGCCAACTCGCCATGAGCATGACCGATAGTAGTACTAGGCGACAGCGTACGCTGCTGCGGGAGAAGACCCTCACTACGTGCACAACACTACCCTACTTAGGCTGTACCAACATGGTATACTCTCCTCGATACTAGTTACCTCCTGCAGGGCCTCGGATAGATCTTCCTCAGTATATCGCTCCCCCCATACTTCCAATGTCTCCTCCACCATCTCGTATCACATCAACATCGCCCAGCTCAGACAGGAAGAACTGTGCATGCACTTGCTTATTGACAAGTTCTGCTCAGTATACTATGCTTACGTACTATACGTAACGATGAATGAATTAAACCAGGTGACTTCTCCCATAGCATTACCCATCCTATGCGTATCATGCCCTCTCTATGCATTCGTAGAGCATACTGCGAGTGGCGATAAGATCGAGTGACGATCTACCGTCTTCTCCAGTACGAGAATATCATCAAAACGCGATCATTGTAGGTATACAAACTCAGGATATTCACCATCCCATAGCGATCTGGCGTAGTGGTTATCAAACCTGATGGCAATAGGCCGCTGCCCTCTCGGGATGTCCCCCGCCTGACATGTGCCTTAGCTGTGTATTAATCCCATCAACAGAAGCATACTCAGAAGGATTATCACGTGCATCGAGAGAGCTTATCCGGAAGCCTCCCCTTAACATTCCTATTGCCGCTGCTAGAGTTGCAGAGCTCGTCCAACCCCAACTATATCTCCGCGAACAACAGAGCTACTGCCAGCATAGGCGTGCCTGACATCCTCAAGAGCCATCCCGTCGCTACTACTTTGCCCGAACACCTGCAGGCCTGTAGATACAACAACTACTCGTCACCGTCTTCTACACCCCTAGCGCCCCTCTGGTAACGACGACAATACGCAGATGCCGACCCTATAACCCATCCACAGTCCAGCTTCGCCACCCGACACATAAACTCAGGAGCATCACCCCTCATTATATACACAGAGCCACTCCGACTGGTGCTACTCAATGACGATGTAGACACAGCTCATCTCTTGCCATATCCCCCCTGTCAGTCTTATCTCACATAATTATAACGATGCTCTCCAGCAAGAGTACCGAAGGGACAAGAAACCTGATATGGCAATGCTATGTTGAACGACCTGTCCCCCGTCCCCATTAATGTCATCAACGATGAACACTGCACTGTTGAGAGAGCCATGGCATCGAAACTAATATCTTTTGCATGCTACATAGTAAGTAGACGATAGCAGTCATTAACCCGATACGAGCCATTCACTTCAACCTCCAGACTGGGCAATGATAGAAGCAGATGACAAAGCTTGGTGGTTATCTATAGGAAGGACGCTGAGATCCTCCTTGAGCAACTCATCCATGGTGAGTATATCCAGACTGCCCGCCTCGCTCTCTACACTATTCCCATCGTCATCAGTATACTCATCAGTAGCCCTAGATACCACACTTTGCGGAGATCTACCAGTCCCAACTCGTCCATACGGATCGAGTGACACCGCCCTCGGCTGCGGACTCGGGGGTCTAAGCCTCCTGCTGAGGGTTGGTCGGGGAGGAGTCGGGGTGACCGCCCCCGCCCCCGTACGAGAACCCCGTCCGAATACACCAAATAGCGTATTGTATATATTCCAATACTGTCCTTGATACTCTACTGGTAGTTGGTCCCACAGAGACAAGAACCTCTCATCCTCATCCAAAGTCGAGCGTTGGTGCACATCGTCGAAGGGCTTGACACAAAGTGCCTAGCAAAAGACCGTCGAAAAGTGCGGTGATATCTACCATTGCCTACTACTACTACTACCTGCTCCTCCTCAAAGAGCTCCCTAGGTGAATTCACTGTATGCTGGAAGCCCAGAGACTCTAGCCCCCTTCCTCTCTTGAGATCGTCCATGATAACCGTATACGTGGTTCGACGAAAGTAGGGTATGCTAGGATAATGACAACGCAAAGCGGCACACCATTGTGCAGTATGCTCCGGTGCGACCATCGTCCCATTACGCTCGTCCATCACCATCGTCAGGTAGAGCTTCTCCAGTTTCGGTGGACGGAAGCGTGCGATACACTCCATGATGAGATCCCACGGTACCACACATCGCCCAATACTTTGCAAACTGATACCTTTGAGAGAATGTTGACTAGTCATCAATAATCTATTGATGCTAATCTCGCCATCAGGACCAGGGGAAGGGGGCAGCCACCGCTGACACACTAGGTACTCCAAATGGCGCCCTAGGCCTCTATCGAGTGCCATATTCATTGTTACTCCTGATAAGACACCCATCGAGAATTCAGCAAGGTTCTCTAATGAACCTGCGAATACTCTATAGATGAGGCCTTGAGCCACCCTGTCGGACCATAGCCCAAGATGGAACTTTCTAAGATGACCACTACCGTTCCACGTAGGCATACCTCTACTAAATACTATGTGTCGAGCGGCATCCGGATCATCGTCAAGCTTCTCCTCCCTCCGTCTAGACCTTTGTAATACATCTAAAGTCTCTAGTACCGGGCAACTAGCCAGGAAGTGTATCAGCCATAGAGCGATGCCGTTATCGTTAGAGAATGTGTCGTAATCGATAGTACTAGGCCCAAAATCGATCCCTGTTAGCCGCACTTCCCTTAGTCGAGTGTGAAGCACAGAGCCTGCAGTGGCACGAGCCGAGGGGTAAGTTATAACGTCGTCATGTCGGAAGCCAACTATCAAAGACTCAAGATGAGTCAATGGGTCCGTTGAGGCTGAAGAGGGCGTTAGAATGCTGTACATAGGCGAAGAGGTAACTCCTATCAGTTCGAGCCGGCGAAGCCTCTGCACCGTCGATAGTGTTAGCAGCAGTTTTGGTAAAGGCTCTACTCTACCGTGGACTCTTAGTTCACTCACGCAGGTGAACATGGCTACCACGGTCTTGTACTTGGCCATCGACCATACTGCAGTAGATAAAGGGGGCTCCAAATCAGCATGAGACCACGAGGTTGGTTCCAATACGAGGCAGCGGGCGAGCTTGGATACCAAACCAAGTGATCTCAGGGATCCGCTGACTCCAATGTAAGGGACGACCAGAGGTAAAGAGGCGTAAAATAGGTCGGAAGATGTACTAATTATGGGTGACGTTGCAAGCATTATTACGGCTGAAAATAAAAGGACTATTTCACAAGCCAATCACCCTGTCTGTGCACCCCTGCTGGAATTTATGGTCGGTCCCCTCAGCTGAGCCCAGGAGTTTTCTCGCTTATTATAGAAGTTTAAAGTCGAATTCGGATAGACGAGTACAGAGACAAATAAGAAATTTTCGACAAGTTCCCTCAGAAGTTTTATATCGTCTACAACACATGTGGTTGACCATGTGCATGTATCTGCTGTGAACAAACACGAATAGGATCACCGACCAACGTCCCTAGCTGACGGCCTCACGGGAGTTATCGCGGACCTGAAGTGCATTTTCCCATACAAAGCAAAGATAAGCGTTGTGATAATTGCTCGGATAGGTGAATGGCAGTGTCCAGCGGTTCCCCTATACCTGACGAACTGGAATACACGAATACTATCGAGACCATAACTAGAATTCTTACAGTAGTGAAAGTCTGGAACGACCGCAGATACCCTCACATATCAATATGAAAATGATATGTAGCTATCTTGGAAATCTTGCGTACTCGACTTAATGATACCCCTGGCATATCGACCCCACCAGAAATGGCAACATCCAAAAACGCATCGCTCCGCCAACAACTTCCACGGCCGTTGCTGCTGCTGCTGAAGTCGTCCTGAATTTGTGGAGATCCCCATCGGTAGTTTTCCCCTTCCTCTCCTACCCCCTTCCATGTCCAAGACTGTCACTAGATCTCCTGCTTTTGATGCTGCATTGCACGTTATTAAGGGAGCGGTTTGCACGGTAATAGAGTGGGGGGAGGGGTTGGAGGGGACAACAGCTACATGGTGTTAGGTTCTCCGTATACCCACTGGCCGGACTACTGATAGAGTATCCCCTCACGAGGGTGGCGGTAAACTCACTCTGAACGCTATCAAGGTAGTACTGCGTTGCTTCAGACTATCCCATTATATCATACTTTCTCGCATAGGATGAACCCACAGAGGAGCAGAAGGAGTTGATAGTCACCAACGTTCATAACAAAGTGGAGGAAAACGCACCTTTCAAGGTAAGCCTGCTTGCACTAAATTTTATTCTAGGCGTCGTAACTAGGTTTTCACTGGAGTCCCTCGTGACCTCGCTGAGAAGAAGTACTTTGATACCATGTACGATAGCTTCAAGGTCCCCGACTCCGTGAAGGAGCTTCGGTTAGTGTATTTAGAACAATGGAACCTCAACTGCAATGTAATGTTCTTCGAATTCTCATGTTGGAGACACCACTACATGATAGGTGCATCCTATTGTAAAATCTACTGGCCTTTTGGGCGATATAAACCTTACCAAATGGAAGTATTCTGCCAAGAAATCTACTCTCGAGATCTCTTTTACAGGCAAGTCCTAGTCTTCGTTGTAACCTGTTATTGAGAAAGTCTCAGTGGATCCCTCTTGTGACGTTTTTGAGATGGCAGAGGAGGACAGTAACGTTGAAGATCTCCCTCCCCTTGATATCGCTGTACCATACGTTCCTGATGGTACGGTGAAGCACTATACTGCGACTGTAATTTTCGTTCATTCTGTAGAGCAGCTCAGCCAAGATGGAGTCCTTGGTGTGTCGGAGGGTCAGAAGGTTACCCCTTGGGAGGTGGAAGGCAGCGATGAGGTATTCTGACTCTTCTTAGTGTGGCACGTAGACGTCTTCCCTTCTAGGGTATCGATTACGATAAGCTCATCCGCGACTTCGGCTGCTCACCCATCGATCAGAAGCTGATTGACAGGATGGAGAAGCTCACTGGGAAGAAGGCACATCGCTTCCTCCGAAGGGGACTCTTCTTCTCTCATCGTGACTTGGGCATTTTACTCGACAAGTACGAGAGAGGTAGTAGTATTCTCGGTCGCTCTACTTTCCTCGAGGGATGCGATTTAGGTATTCCATTCTACCTGTACACTGGTCGGGGTCCTTCCTCTGAGTCCCTTCATCTTGGACATTTGGTCCCTTTCCAATTTACGAAGTGGTTACAGGTGCTGATTCTTTCCCGCAAAGTTCGTTACCCAATCCAATGCGTATTAGGATACCTTCGACGTCCCTCTGGTTATCCAACTGACTGATGATGAGAAGTTTTTCTTCAAGGATTACTTGGTAGGTTGTGATGTCGTCCTCTACGATAGTAAGGCCTTCCGTATTGTAGTCACTGGAGGAGGCTCATCGACTAGCATACGAGAACGCTAAGGATATCATCGCGTGTGGCTTCGATATGGACAAGACCTTCATTTTCTCTGACTTGGACTATATGGGGACTATGTAACGAATCTTCATAGCATTGCTGTTGTTTTATGCGAGGAGTAGGTATCCTAATGTATGTAAGATTCAGAAGCTGGTCACCTACAACCAGGCACGTGGGGCGTTCGGTTTTACGGGTAGGAGAGGGTTGAAAGGTATCATTCGGCATGATGTAATTAACATTGTAGGTTCTGATAGCGTTGCTAAGTCTAGTTTCTGTGCTATTCAAGCTAGCCCTTCCTTCTCTACTACCTTCCCCTCGATCTTCGGTGACCGTAAGGATATTATGTGCCTTATCCCCCAGGCCATCGATCAGGACCCCTACTTCCGGGTTACTAGGTAGGTTTTGAACGGTGGGTGAGAGAGAGACTGTACTCGATAGGGACGTGGCGCCTCGAATGGGTATGCTTAAACCGGCTCTCATTCACTCCAAGTTCTTCCCTGCTCTGCAAGGCCATAAGACGAAGATGAGTGGTAGCGTCGGTAACACTACTATCATGGTAACTGATAAGCCGAAGGAGGTAGGGTGCGAGGTTTCAAAGTAGAGCGATTACTTGTATCAACGTAGATTAAGAACAAAATAATGAAGTACTGCTTCTCTGGGGGACAGGACTCGGCTGAGGAGCAGAGGAAGTATGGTGCCAATCTGGAGGTCGATGTAGCCTACGAGTATCTTCGGTGAGTCTCCTTCATATAGTTTGAGCATCAGCATCACTGATCGTGTTGAAGATACATTATGGAGGATGATGAGAAGTTCGAGCAGATCGGGGAGGAATATTCTTCCGGAAAACTCCTTACGGGAGAGGTACAATGAGCTAGCAAGGGTGGATTATGCTATTGCTGTTTATTGTAGGTGAAGAACATTCTGGTAGAGGAATTGGTGAAATTGACGAAGACGCATCAAGAGGCTAGGGCTAAGGTGACTGACGAGATAGTAAAGGAGTTCATGAACCCTAACCGGTAGCACTGGTACACGTTGTTGTGGAAGAGTGAGTCTGCTGCGGTTTTAGGCCTTCTCTAGCCAAATTCAAGTCTATTGGCAAGGATCGTAAGATAAGCCATAGCAACTAAGTTTCTGGTGACCTCACTCGGTAACAGGAGTATCATAATGGTTACTCGATACGTCTGTTGTGTAAGTTTACATTCACTGGACTCTCTCATGTTGTGTTATAGTAACGCCAAACGAGGCTAGCGTCAATTGAAGAGGGTTATGTCGTTATTGGGGTTGTCGAGTATAGGTATACTACTATTACTACTACTACTACTACTACTACTACTACTACTACTACAACTACTACTACTACTTCAGTCTAATGCAGCTGAAGGCGATGGGCAACCGTCGCCTATGCAGGACCGTGGACCGCTGTACTGATGATATACCAATTTGCTGTGCTGAACCGAAGGTGGTATTCATGTGCATTCGAAGTAGAGTACAGGCGATGGTGCAGTGGCACAGTATAAGAAACTCTCCTTCGATCGTAAAGGAGGATATTGCAGGTAGGAGCTCCACTGATGGCTATCAACTCTCATGCCTGTCATCTTTACTCTAATCTCGGCAACCCCTGGTATCCTGGAAGTCCCCGGCTATACCTTTAGCGCGGTCTTATCAGGTTCAGAGATGATACTGGTCATCAAGTGAGTCCTCCGAACCATACGACTGCGATCGTCGAGAGGAACACACAGTGAAACGGTAGTTTCCCCAAGGGTTGAGGCCGAGCGATGGGTCAAGTAGCATTCCCAGAGCAGTAGCCACTGCGGAGGGTGAGGGACACGAGAACTGTGGGTTGTGTTGTCAGTCTATTGTCATACTTGTGACGAACAGTGTGTCGGTCGGGGAGGTCCTAATCTGGTTCTCACTCTGTATGAGATTATCCCCGTTTCACTGTTGCGGAAAGGCGGCACAGAGAGTACACTGCGCTGAGGCTTCGGACCATGCTGCTATTGCCGATCCGGAAGACGTGAACCTCATGCTTATGAGGTACGACCGGGTAACGGCTCGGATATTGAATAAGGGTACTGTGCATGAGTCACGGCAAGCTATGCAGCGGTCCTCATTCCCTCATTTCCTGCCGCTCTTCGATTCTATAAGGAGGGCTCTAGCATGCTCCCGAGAGAGTCCGGATGTAGTTGAGCGTTACGAAGAAATGTTGATGCGGTTACGTCGTGCTGCCGAGTACATGATGTCTGCCCGAGTGAACGCCTTGCCCTTGGAGGTTCTTCAACTCGTACGAGTTTGGCGAGAGTACTGTTGTCATCGATTTGCCTGGGCACTTATCTCTATGAGTGATATTCAATGGCTCCAGACTCAGCTCATGGGGAAGTCTAATAAAGCGTATCATCCCCTGACCATCCTCGACCCTTTGGCCGGTACAGGCTGGCATTGCTATCTTATGCGAAGGCTAGGTTGGACATCACGTTTCGAGGTTTCTGATTCTCACCCTGCATCACCCTCTCTGTTGTGGGTCACACCGGTGTGTGCTCGAGACGCGTTGGAATCGGTCCGTGGTATGCCGAGAGCGGACGTCTTGTGGTTGAGTTGGCCACCACATGAGCCGCAACCTATTGCCCTTAGTCTCCTTAATGCCTTTTGTGGCTGTACTGTAATTTACATTGGGGAATGGCCGGCTGCAAGCACTACCTCGGTATCACAGGGAGCTCGGATGTTTTTCGAAGCTCTCCGATCCGACTGGATCGAGAAAGCAAGGCGGAAGGCGGAGGTCAATTGGCCAGGGTATGAGCAAGAGCTGGTAGTGCTCGAGAGAAAACGTCATTCATTGGCATCGTCAAGGTGAATCTGTGGTAACCCATGTGTTGTATGTAACAAATCAGTTTCTGCCTGCCTTGGCGCGTATGGTTTCGCGTAGCAGATGGTTTGAACCTTTCCTCGCGAACTGTACACTAGTAGGTCTATCACAATGGCGGGTTCTTTATGATGATGCCTCCCTCTACGCGCGCCAACACGCCGTGCTTCTCATGCGGTGTCAAGTCGTGCAGAGAGGCCAATAGACGACACTCGACTGCGCTTTCAGCAGAAGCACAACCAACATCGTAGCGATGCTTTTCTTGATACACCTACTACTTTGATCACGATAGGTTTGTTGTTGGGACCTGCGGTGATATAATATGCATCCCACACTTCCGTGCTTGGCAACGAAAACAACTACAGCGCTGCAGGCAGACAGTAGGACTACCGACTCTCGCTCTCTGTGGGGACCATCCTATAGGTAAACCAGTGCCCAGTATGTACAAAAAGTGGCATTCGGTTCCGTGTATCCATGAATCCATCTGAGCTGATGGCCCTCCAGAGCAACGGTTCCTCCTTCATTGCGCTCTTGGGCTACGGTGTTAATGTACACGAAGGTGTTGTTGATGGGTATGCGTTTAGATGTCAAGTATGCGTTCTATATTGTTTCAGCATTCGCACACGTGAAGCAAGCCCTTAGATTTTGGGTAAATCAATCAAAGTGGTGTTTCCAGTTGCTCGCGTTTTCCGTCAGGAGCATCACCATGGTGCTTCCTCCGTTGAAAACGGCAGCTCTTCCCGGAATCGACTTCAAACGCGACAAGCGGACGAGTCCACGAAGCTTCTCGATACTCTGAGAGCGATCGAACAGAAGAAGTAGCAACCACGTGTTGAATTGAATACTGGCGTTATCAGGACTGATCTTGCATGCAAGATTGAGGAGTCTCGCAAACAGACTGCTAAGTTGAACGCACGAATAGAAGTCCTGGAAAGAGAGGAAGAAAAGCAAAGGAGGAGGGCCGCTAGAGAACTGCATCAAAGACAACAGGATCTCGGGAGCCGCGGCTTCAACCGCAACCAGCTTAGCCGCCGCCAGGGAGTTGCTTTGGGAGCCCCGAGCGCCGAATCGATGCAACGCACCTGGAGGCAGCATCAGCCAAACACGAGTCGGTGTTCCCTACTTTCACGAGAGAAGATATGCGATGTATCTCATGATAGGTTCGAATGCTATCATGAGACCGACGCATGGAGCACGCAGTAGCGTTAGCCACTGCAGTGGTACCCTCGATGAGGATATCCTACGGAAGCTCGGTACTGGAGAACGTGGCGATCTATCATCTCTGATGGTAGGAATGCCCTGTTCTTGAGTGTATCTTGACGGCAATATGCCCAGGTACAGCCTCAGAGACATCACGGGGGAGTTGTTCACAGGCATGGGCGTGATGGCAAGCATCACTACGAGCAGCGACGTGTCACCTCCGACTTATGCTCTAGCATTTCCACAGGCCAAACAGCTGGCGGCCTAGGATCCCTCGCCTCCTCTGCCACATTCAGACAAAGACTATAGCTCTGGTGCATCACACGTATGGTGCTACCATTCTCCTCCTGTCATTGGTGATGACAAGGCCATGGACTTTCTTCACATTAGTTCCTTTTACATGACGACATTCACTGAGAATCGCTGTGGCCAGATGCAGAAGCTGTGTTTGTTCATCAGCTGATGACATTTATTTCCCTGTCTTCCTCGTGATTGTGCTGGTGACACTATACTAGTAGAGAGAGCAACACCTGGCGGGGGATGATCCAATCGGTGCAACTTCAGTAGATCAATACATGCTGCAAAAGCTCATGGCCCACATACTGCTGCAAACGAAGTCTAGGTTGTGCACGCTGCAAGTGGCAAAAGATCAATCACAAGACCGTGTCTTAGTATTCCGTAGTGCAATTAATGCGTTCATCTCCCCAGCGGAAAATGACGAACTTACCACAGCTTACGAGAGTGAACCGACCTGCAGGACGGCAAGTACGACTGTCAGTCAAAGGGTTGGCTGTCTGGGGAATCCTGATGGGTCGATTAGGTGGCAACCAACATGAGGCGAGACTCTAATACCTGGTATATAAATACCCTGTATGTGCGGCATGATTTTGAAGAGTGCCTCCGGATCATAGAGGAGACCTTGTCGGAATCTAAAGGGCTCAATCAGTATCAAATAGATAGCTCTATTTGGCGCATTCCTTTGCTCACAGGCATGCTCTATATTACAAAGCCCTTATTCATCAGCAACAAGGGCACATACAAAGTTCCCTCCAGCTCTTCCAGGCGGCAGCGAGTCTAGATCCTCTGAACGTAACGAGTGCATTCTGCTTACCAAAGCTTTATAGCCCAGACCCGGGGTAGCTATTAAGACGCTTAGGTAGACTATCTGAAGCATGTGGCAAAGAACTTGTCCTTCCTAGGGCAGCACCAAGCCGCTATAGAGGTAAGTTCTTCATCAACTTGCGAAATAGCTAACTCCAAGCAGATATATTCGGAGGCTATGAAACGTGATCCAGACGATTGGGAATTGCACTATAACATCGGTGTGTGTCAGAAGTAGCCAACAGCAGTCATTACGATAAACGTCGTTGGCTGTACTTGCCTAGATACTTAGGCAATTACTCGCTGGCAATCAGCAGCTTCCGAGCTGCCAATGACATCCAGCGTCATGATACCACCTACATTGAACTGGCAGAGATGTGGCTTTGCATGTTGGAGAACTATTGCATATCCTTTCTCTAGGCAAGCACGTCGCGGAGATAGTCATGCTGCCATCGATACCTATACCGAAGCCCTCGAATTCTCGCCAGAGAACGCGAAAATTTTAACTAGATGTAATGAGAGCTGTACGAGACGATCGCGTTATCAGGAGTTTCCTCTCAGTGGGCGTTCTGCTACTGAAGGCAGATGATAGCTATAAGGCGTTCGAGTGCCTCGGGAATAGGTCTCGCATTCTGCAGTGATGCTTTATTTGACGCCCTTCGATCAGCCTGGTCTACGATCCAAAGGACCCTCGGACAATACTGGCCGCAGGGAGTGTCATACAAGACCACGGCGATGTTGATGTCGCATTGGTGAAGTAAGTGGATCTACTCTTCCTTGAGAAAGCATTGTTCAGATATCGTGTGGCAGCAGTGCAGATCCCTTCAAGTGCAGAACTGTGGAATAATGTCGGCATGTGTTTCTTTGGTACCTTCGAGGGTATGTCATCATGATGAGTCAGTCCATTCAGAGAAGCAGAAGCTAGTAGCAGCAATAGCTTGCCTTAAGAGAGCGATCACACTTGAGCCTCAACGGTGGAGAACACAATTTAACCTCGGCCTGGTGATTCCCGAACTCAACTCTGTGCGAGTTATTGTGACTTTGATAGCTCCACTCGTGTACGGGCCAGTACGCCTCGGCCTTCACGTTCTTCTCGGCTGCTCTCAACCTGGATCCTAAGCACCCCCTCATTTACATGTAGGTTATCTCGCAAGATGCCAGCAGCACTCAGCCGCATACAGTGTGTACCATATAGGTATCTCGGCATAGTGTTGTCTAGGCTTGACGACTATACGAACTCGTGCAATGCATATGCTAGAGCGATTGCCGCTGCACCTTCATGCGAGGTAGGCGAGTATTGAAGGAATGGAGAAAGTCATTCAGGAGGATCCATCGACTACGGCTATCATACATCTTAACTTCGCCATTACGGCGTTGAATCATGGGGATCTGGACGAGGCCAAGAAACATTTCCTCATTTTCGATGGGCAATATCATGCTATCAAGGAGTCGGGCGGAGGAAACGGAGAGTCTCAATTCCTGTATATACCCTTCGTTCTTGTGCCTCAAAGTGTCCCCCTTAGGTCGAATTTTCCCGAAGCAACCCATAAACGAGATATTCTGGGCGCTCTGTTGTTAGGAAGATGATGGGCAGCCGTGTTCATGCGAGATTCATGTTACATTGGCACCTTGACATGCTCGTGTTGGCTGTATTATTGCTGGGGTCTCCCTTGGACTTGACAGTACCGCACATTAGCATTATGAGGCTATCTCTCGTCATCTTCCCTGCTATCATCATATTCGGTATCGTTATTGCGATATCATTACTCCGTCTCACTGTATCACCATCGACAGTCACAACGAAGGACGCTTCTGCTCCTGTCCCAGAACTTCTCCTTAGCGGTCATACGGACGATAGCAAAGAACCCTTCCCAGTGCACTCAGACTATCACTCCCCAGGTCAGCTGCCATTCGATGAGCGATGGCGTGGCTGCGCAGTCAGATATGCGGTCCCAATTGGACTTGGTTTTGGGTGGTGGTTTAAACAGCAAAGCCGGAATCGAACACTAGTGATTTCTGAGGAGGAGGAGGAGGATCGATCTGCAATGTCGTGTCTGCTCAGCTTCACACAGGGCACCCTAGCTAATCCCAATAACTTACCAAATACTTCCTATGATATTGTGATTGTGGCCTTCACACTGGAGACATCTTCCAGTCCGTGGCAACAAATGGAAAAATACACCAGCCTGGTCAGCCAGCAGGGGCACCTTGTGATGCTATCGCTCTTTTTCTGGCCTGAACGAGGGGCGCATGATTATTTCCGTTTTCTCCCGTCGGGACTGTCCAATATGGCTGAGTGGGCTGGTTGCCGTAAGCTAGAGTTCTCTGATGGCTGGGGATCGTGGGATTTCTGGACCTATTTAGCCAAGTCTGGTCCTGAGCATGCCGACAAACGAGGCGTAGACGGCTTCGCTAGTAGTGGAGGAGTCCGAATTGGCGACACGTTGTACAAGTCTGATGGTGAGAGCTACTTCATCACTTGGGCGGTGGTCGGACAATGTGGGACAGGGCGGCAATGGTCATCGCAGCTTCTCTCTGCCGATGTCCCATGGCCTCCGATCAAACGGCAAAAGCTCGCAACCTTCGAGGGCCACATCTTCGAGACGAAATTGTACAAGTTCGAGTCGTGTAAAGGGTCATATGGCCGGATTGCGGCTCATCATACTATCGAGCAATGGCTGGTCACCAACGGGGTGCGGAAACGTGCTCACACAGATGTCCTCAACGTTTCTCCCCCTGTGGGAGGGCTGGAATGTTGGGCTCGACACTTCGATAAGGCTAACACGAGATTTGTGATAACTCACTGGAATAAAGGCCAGCACGAGATTTGCGAGGATCTTCCATTCGCGGATGACTCCTTCGACTTCGTTATTATGCAAATGGTGGTGGAGCACAGCGTATTCATGTGGGAATGCTACAGAGAAGTTTACCGAGTCCTGAAGAAGGGAGGGGTCTTCATTTCTACCAACCCAGTAAAATTCCGTCGCCATCCATTGGGTGGCAGTACAAAAGTGAACAAGCGACTGAAGGAGAAAGGATACGCGTACCCGGACAACTATAGGCTTCTTCCGGCCGGTAATCGAGTCTTAACTCTCTGGGCTGGATTCTCAAAGATTCATTTATCCGGTGGTTGGGGCATGAAACGGTTTTTCGCAGAGCCCTCTTTCGATATTCCAAAGGTGAAGTCACATATGGCGAGTGACCCTACGAGTGGTATCGGCGACCCATACGTGATCACGGCATGGTTGATTGCTGAAAAATAGCATGTGTAAGATTAACTCAGTCGGACGACAGTTTTGTGTTGGGCGATTGATGATAAATCAGCTTCGTGTACAACCTGCAATCCTCGGTAACCCGAGGTACATGTGATACAAGACGCGATCAGCGAATGTGCACCATACGCATTGTGAAGGTTCGTCTGTTGTGAGCGGACTATTCCCCAGGAATGTGCAGACTCAGCACTGCTGATGCATCACTGCTGACGATTTGTGCCTCGCGAGTAAGAGTGGAGCGTGCGACACTTAACTTGAGCGTGTGGACGCAAAGGAGCCACTCAAGAAAGTCAACGAAGGGTTGACCCTGAGTTCTAGTACCGAGACTACACCGAGCACCGTACACAACAACTTCTCACCATTGATCATGTTGATCGTGGCGCTGATCATACGACACATTCCTTATTTCGTTCATCTCTACCCCGATCGAAGGTCATTATATTCCGGCTCTGGTGGAAGAGACCGACACTCAAAGCCTCTTGAACAAGGAATGAATTCCAATACGGGAATAATTCGAACTGCAAAACCTGGCCCCTGACAGGGGCCCCCTGTAGCGGATGTTTGTGTTCACAAACAGTAGTTCAACACGTCCTTCGAATCTGTACGAGCCTGTATATTGCCTGAATTACATGTCCAAGCGCTTCGAAACCCGTTGGGCATGTTTAGGCAAAATTCGGCTCGGCGAAACCTTCATCACCCACGCACGCATTTTTTTCTTCTGCGCTCGCCCAGATATCGACTGATCTCCAGACTTCCAAAATGGATTTCCAGCACATTGAGTTCCGATAGTGGTTCCCACCGTATACAACATCCAGATTGTTACTGGTTACGGTGCAGACTGAGTTAGAAAGTGGCCAACAATGCTCACGTCAGGCGGCCACTGGGTCGTATCCTCCGGCTCACGTTTGACGCTTGATGAGCGGAGGACATCCCAACACCGCCACCAGACGCATCAGCTGAAAGCTACCCGTCATCCATTGGTAGGAGCGTTGCCGTACTATATGCATCGAGGATGTTGCCGGTAGCCCTGCCGCATGGGGATGGAAGATTCGGCACAAGTAGCACTGGAGCATCAGAGGACGGAAAGGAATGGTATTCTACTGCCTCGAAGACACTCAGGAGTGTTTGATAGGTTATATACAGTATCTGCGGAAGGTTTTCTCGAAACCAGCTCCTACTGTGCCAGTAGCTCTTCCTCGAGTCGCGGCACACCCGAAACGAGTAAGCGTTGAAAGCAGACCGAGGATGATGAAGGGTATTGGAGTGCTGAAGTCGTCCAACCCTGCGGAAACGCCAAGGGAGGCGACTACTCGCAATGAGAGCAGTGCTTGGGGAGAGATACACAGTAGGGAGACTCGGCGGCTTAGACTCCCGTTTGCATCACCAATACATCGTCCAAACCGTCGCATATTATCGCATTGCCCGCTTTCATGTGCTTCCACGCGATAGTGTAGTGTATTTGAAGTGCATCCACCTGAGTCTCGACATCAGGTGACATTGTTGAACAGCCTTTGGACGACGCAGAGTCGGTGGCTAGTAGTATGAGGACTGAGTTGAGCACTGACGAGCCGACGACCGAGCACACGAGGGAGCGATCGGATGTCTTCGGAAAGGTGTGTTGTCGACATCGTAACCATGCGGGAGGTCGTCACGTAGATACGCTTATTGCGGCGCAGGAAGAAAGGAGGGCCGCTTGTTCTTACCCCTGCCTACTTTGCTAAACCCCTGCCTCCTCTTATTAAACTGAATAGAGATGGGAAAGTCAGTAAGACGACGGGTGGAGCATCGAAGGTGGGAGGGAGGATAAACTCGCTGACCTGTATGTTCGCCTGCATCAGTCGCCATGCAATGTCAAAGCAACAGCCCAACCTCGGCCCTTGGTAAGTTGCCACGAGACGTCTCCGTTACCAATGGTAACGGAGACCTCTTGTGACGAGCCGGACTGTGAGCCACCCCGGGTCGTCGTGCCCCGTGTTAATGCGCCAGTGGTGACACGTAAATCTCCGAAGACGTATGAGAAGCGAAAGGTCGCTCCTCCGGCCGTTTGCCAGAGGAGCTCACAACCACCATCATCAGTCCATCTAGAAAAAAGGCATCGACATCGAGAGAGGGCTTGCCGCAGTACTGCCTCTCCACTGTGCCGGGATATACTTGGCCAGCAATGGCAGTCTCTGAATGACGAAGAGGAGAAGTTACGGTATTCACTTCTCCGTATTGACGATGGGCCATTGAGGCGGATGTTGCCGAGACGGAGTGAAAGAGTGGACGCTAGGTAGTATCATATCTCTGATCAGAAGTATCAACCATGTCCCAGTTGTGTGAACAACTTAACACTACAAGAGGAGGAGCTCCGCCTTTCCCTAGCGAGATTAGAGGAGGCCTACACTGAACTACGAAAGCGTCCACATGAACAGCCTATCAAAGACAGGGTGAAGCGGGAGATCCCACTTCAAAGAGTCGAGGGCAGTCGACGAATACGAAGGCCAACAACTCGGCTCAAGCTACCGACTATTCACCCGGCATTGGTCGCAGCAGGGAGGCACCGTATGGGCGGTCATCTGTCTAGGAGTCGTACACCTCTGTCAGGAACCTATACTGTTAAGGGAAGATATTCTGCCAAGTAGTAGAAGTACTTGTATGGGGAGTCGTCGTGTCACCCATCAAGTTGATGATCATGGTCTGGTGTTGATGGGCTTTCCTCCTCATTTTCATATACTGCGTTGTCAGATCTGTCGGAGTAAAGGTTGTTCTTAGCACGTTTTTAACATTTGATGCAACAGGCCTGCAACGCTCCTGGTGCTGCAGTCACTTTGATACTCGAAGATCAGCTCAAACGGATAGTAACTCACGATGCTCGAAGAACGTAGGAATGATACTATCAGTGGGGACAGCATTGACGATGTTACAACAGGCATAAACAGAAAATGGCTGGGCTCATACCGAGAGGATATGACTCGCCCTTTGGGGACTTCCCTCCAGATTATAAGCCCAAGAGGAACCTCATAAACACTATAGGACTCGCTAGATCGAGGCCGCAGGTGTGTACAGGGCTAGAGGGCGGCGACAGATGACGTTATGCTTAGGCAGTAGAACGTGTAGGGCCCAAAGGGGCTGCCAGACCCGACTGTATACCACCTCCCAGGGCAGGGGCGTATAGTCGTAAGCCTATCAAACCGACTGAGTTCAGGAAGTTCTATGATCGAGGGGACCTGCCGATACAGGTAGTCCAGAGATGGCAATGGGATCACTTACACTTGGTGGTGATGTAGACGAGGAGTGGTATGAGCGGTTTATGATTAGGTATCACACGCTGGAACGTGGAATAGGATAGCGTGGAAGGCTGATATCGAGAAGTTGGACTATCATCACTACCTACCTATATTCTTTGACGGTATCCGTGAGAAGGAGGAGCCCTACCGGTAAGCCGTCTACAGCAGTAGTGGTCGTGGTGGACTGACTCCCTTATAGATTCCTAGCGGTCGAAGGAGTTTACGATATGCTCGAGAAAGGCGGTGCTAGGATACTACCAGTCATACCCCAGCTTATTATACCCATCAAGACGGCTCTGAATTCGAGAGATCCCGAAGTCATCGCCACTACTCTTAAAGTAAGGACCGTGTTGTCCGGTCTTGTCCGATGAATTTGTTCGTGCGTGCAGATGCTACAGACGCTGGTGTTGTCGGCAGAAATGATAGGAGAGGCACTGGTGCCTTACTATAGGCAGATTTTACCCATATTCAACATCTTCAAGAACTCCAACATCCATTGTAAAGATAAGATGGACTATGGTATGCCTGTGTGGTGTTCTTATGCAAGCATATATGTCGTTGACAGGCCAAAGGAAGCGTTTGGTATTGGGGGATCTTGTGGAGGAAACTCTGGAGATTTTTGAGATTCACGGTGGCGAAGATGCCTTCATAAACATCAAGTATGACTGTCTCTCAGCTATGTTGATGTTGACTGATGATATCTATCAGGTATATGGTACCAACCTACGAGTCAGTGTGCGAATTCGAGAAGTAGATATGGAGTACTTCATGACGGCGGCCATGCCTGCAGCAATAGCAGGCCCTAATATCACTGGTGTACAGTGTCATGTTGAGATAGTGTCAACGATGCTTTTCGTTAAGTAAATTAGAGAGGAGTGGTGGCCAGCGACGATACAATAACCGCTATGAAGGGGAGTAGTAACTGCTATAGAACAGGCATGAGTTCTGTGGAGCTCCTCATCTGTTGATGATGAAACACCCAACATTGATAGGCGAGGATTCTAGTGACAAATTCAGAGTGAATGAGGTGAAATTCCTACAAGAGCAGCACGCAGCTGTAGGGGGAAGGGCGGACTGCGGAGGTTGGGCACTGTCCTATGTGGCAGGCGGTCACTGCTCTGGCACGGATCGAGCAACAACGAGATGAAGCACGTGCTACTGTACGAGACTATGAACAGAGTCAAGAGGCAGTTGAGAAAGAGTAATGTCACTGATGGGCTGCGGTGAATCTGATGTGGACAAAGAGCAGATATGAAAGTGATATGAACAACTTGAGAGTTCTGCAAGAAGAGGAAAGAGAGCAACGAGTGCAGCTACAGCAACATGACGATAATATAACGGAGGCTGCACTCACCAATACGAATATAAAGACTATGAGTACTAGGCAAGGCCTATGCTTTAGATCAGCTTGGTGGTGTTAGTCAAGAGTGAGGAGGAGGCCATCGTTAATCTGAAGGCTGAGCAGAAGACCAGTATAGCGGAGGAAGTCAGACTAGAAGGCATTGCTGAGGAGTTTAAGAGGATTAAGAAGTTGGGCGAGGATCAGGTGGAAGAGTTACCTGTCGGTGGGGATGGGAGGGCCCTTCGGTAGGTCGTATTCACCGATAACGAGGCTGCCCGAGTGATGGAAATGCTACGACAAATCGTACAGGAGCAGGACCAGATCGTTGCAGCTATGAGGAACATGGAGGCTCAAGTGAGTGCCGTCACAGCGATGGAAGGATGTGAGCAATATGGGTAGGCCAAGTCGGAGATGGACTCGGTAGAGACGGCGTTGAGGGCTGAGAAGAAGCGGAATACAGAGCTCTTGCAGCAGTGCCGACACAATGAGGTCTTCTGAATAGTCGTCCGATACCGCACCCGCGACTGCTGTAGGTGACTGAGAGGAAGATGACACAGGAGATTGAAGACTTGAAAAGGCTCAGTGACGAGGAGAGGAAGGAGCTCATCAGGCTCGAGGTAGTCGCGTCGTCGGGTTGGTTGTTCGTACTGGGCGTGCCGATCCTCCTGCAGGCCATGCGTGATGGGTCAGCGTATGAGCAGGAGCAATACGTCAACGAGAAAGGAGAGCTCATGAGGAGGCTGGAATCACTGAAGGAGCAAAATAAGAAGTCTTGTCTACCTTGCATCGATCACTCAGTAGTTGTCGTTGATTGTCGTAGATACAGTGATTCGATCACTGAGTTGGAGAGTAGCAATGAGAGGACACGGGAGAAGTACAATGGCCAAGCCGAGAGGTTCCGTGATATGGGAGATCAGGTACCTCACCTGAGCATGGCAGCAGTGGGTGCGGATGAGCAGCAGCCTGTAGGTCTTCCGTCTCATGGACCAGTTGAAGCTTCTACAGCTCGAGCGGAAGAAGCGGGTCGAGTCGGTGTCCGAGAGGAGGAAGAGGGCCGAGCATTTGGAGGTTGCCAATGCTCAGTCGTTAGCCAAGATTGAGGTAGAGCGTGAGGCGCGGCAGGATGCGGAGGCAGCACTGAGGAAGGTCCAACAGGTTATACAAGATCGTGTTATGGGGAGGGGTAGGTGTGGTTGGTGAAGGTCCTTAACCTCCTTCGTAAGAAGCAGAGATCTCTGGAGGAGACCTATACCATGGCGACCCGTGTTTGGGAGAAGACAGAGAGGGATGCAAATCAGCTTTACGATAATGTGGGTTCACTGGAGGTGTGGCTGGAGCCACTGTAGATATGCGTTTGTCCTCAGCTAAGAGCACTGACGACGCGTAACCAGTATCTCGTGAATCGGGTGGATGGGCAAGTAGATGATTCATCTACACTGAAGCAGCTTCTTGCTGAGATGCGGGAGGAGTTGCAGAAACTGCGACAAACGGTGTGCTCTGTGGAGGCGTCGGTAGGGGGATGGGGGAGGCCTTTCCCTGCTCAGGAAAAGGAGCTACAGGGTCAGCTATCGGTCAGTGACGATGCAGAGGCTGAGCTATCGGCCGAAGTGGCGAAGTTGAATGCCGAGATCGACTTCATCAAGCGGACGGATATGTTG